TCGGACGTCAATGAAGGTCACTTGTCAACTTAGAGTAGTGCCTAAAGATGACTCCGTGCGGCTATAAACGACTGTTAAATGGAATGATGAATTGTTGAAGGATTTTGAAAACGGAAAAAACGATAGTCATGCCGGCCCAGCATCCTCACCGTTGAAAAATGCTCCGGCACGAAGTGGATAATGTTATTGAAAAATGGGGGGAGGGGGCATGAAGCGGATGGATAGGCTTGTAACTCCCAGTGTTAGGATCAGGGGTTCAAACCGAACAGTTGGTATATGTTGTGACCTTGTATAAGTCACATTAGCCCTATCAGCCTCTCTCTACCGAGGCACCTGTGAGGTCCGCAGATGGCTGTCATGTTTCATTTTTGCGCCTGATTTGGAAACATGGAGCTGCATACTCCCCAAGGAGTTGAGATGGTTTTTAGGAATGTTCGGGGGCTTGATGACCACGGTAATCAAAGGCATTACCTTACTCTGGTAAAATGTGTGCGATTTAAAACTGTTTATTGTTTGACAAAGTCTTACATCGCTCTGATTTTCCCTGCATCCTGATACTGCTATGCTCAAGTTGCTTTGTACTCTGGTGGGCATGGATCTGGAAGATACACTTGTTTCATGAGCTGAAGTGGGATTTGCTGGGGACAGAAAGTTGGGATGTGTAAGAAATGGTCATTACTGCTCATTCTTCCTGGGATCGCATACCTGTATTACGGTCCTTCTTATGGGATGTGTAAGAAATGGTCATTACTGCTCATTCTTCCTGGGATCGCATACCTGTATTATTACGGTCCTTCTTATGCGCACTTTCGACTAACAAGCTGTCCATGACCACCAAAAGGTAGAACTTGTGGTCCTCAAATGTCAACCGAGTTAAATAATTGTAACTGGAGTCATTGGGATTGCAAAACTGGTTGCCAAAATTGTTAATTTATACCATGTGTTGATTTGTGGTCACGTTCACAAGAAACCACTTCATAGTGACAAAGAACTGTGGGCAGACACTGTAATGCCATTGCTGCTGTACACCCGGTGCTCACACTGGCACTCCATGGCTTTGTACGCATTCAGATGAAAATTGCTCTTACATACTACTGCGTGCGCATTTATGTGTTTGTTGGAGGGATGAATCCCATCTGAATCTCTGTCTTCTGCTCCTGCTCAAAGTCGGTAACAATCAGCAGGTGAAATTTTAAGATAGAATTCCACTGGATTGACTTTTATCAAAACCTTGTAGGTGGAGATGGAGGATTTTGATGAGGAGGCAGAGGCAGCAGCCAGACCAAAAGAGGAGGAGGAAGATGAAGATGACGAGGGTCTGGTAGGTGGAGAGTCATCTCTATCCTTCCTTGATTTGTGTAAAGTAATTGATTTGCTAGGATTAGAGTTTGTTAGGAGCAATTAAAGGTTCTTTATGATTGTTTTCTTATCAGCAGTAGTTATGTTAGAGGTAGGTGGAGTTTGCTTATTGTTATTTTAACTCGCTTCTTTGCAAAACTTTAGCAAAGCCTACTTTTGCTTATGCATGACATGTTGGACAAGGGAATTGGACAAGCATGACCATGTCCAATCAGACTTGGTGTTAGGATTAAATGATATTGTTAATAATTGTAATCCTTGGATTTTAGGATGTACTCCTAATTTGTAAACTGGTCTTATGCTTAGCTCTGTCCCTGGGATATCCTGGGTAGTCTCACACACCTTCAGATTCTGTACCTGGTATATCCCAGGTCATGTAGAGGCATACTTGAGTGAGCAGACTTTTTCTAGTACTTTCTAACAAAGTTGTTTGTAGTGTGAGTGTGATAAATGCTGGCCTAGATTAAGAAAATATTCTGTAGTCTTAATATTTCTATTGGAATACTTCCATTGTTCATTGTATTGGTGAATAATTTCACAAAATTTCCCTTGGTCAGTTGGATCAATTCAGGAATTACATTTTACAAATGATAAAATGTTTCAATAAATCCAGTTATTGGGTCACTTTCAACCCATTGCAGCACAGCAGATATAGAAATCTGAGGTGTTTTGTGTGTGATTTCATTGGGACAACTAATTATACTTTATCAGGGCTGAGATTTGTCAGGATTTTTCCTGAATTCAGGATTTTTTTCTCTTACAATCTCAAAAAAACCTGACTTAACCGCTATAATGCTTTTGTGTATAACGGTTGATACAGAATGGAAGAAACAGATATTTAAGGGGTGTCTTGGGGCAGACACAAATGTATACCAGAGACCATATGCTGCTGAGGGACCCTCAAAACCTCTGTTGAATATTTTGTAGATTTTTCAATTACCCCCGATCTCACCCCTTCTTATTCATCAGGGGTGTGACTTGTGTCCACCTACATCTCAATCCATGGAAATGACATAGCTGCTTACTGTATAGCACGTTGTGGCTAACTATTCTAGTTGTGGGCTTCCTCGGGGCTGCAGTTCAGTCCATCACAAGACCAGTCCAAAGTAAGGGGATGAACAATAACAAAGGGTTGCTTATGTCAGAGGTCATTGGAATAGCTTTGTGACTTGACTCATGACCAGATGACTTGTGATAGGCTTGACTACTGCCCCAGCATTCTTCCCAAATTTTGCAAGTGAGATGGTATTTGGGCCACAATTATGGGGCATAATAGAATGAGATAAAAGAACTCGTAGTACATACCTAACCATGTCTATACAGGTGTATTTGAGTGAATATGAATTTGGAAGGATGTGTCCTCTAGTTTATGCGCAGTAGGATTAATACAATTCAACCTTGATTGAAACCTGTTAGTTGTTATAGGGATGTGAGTTATTGGCATTGTGTGTGAGTGAACTTTGCATATCTCTGCTTTAGTATTTGGTATTCATTTATGTGTTGCCACTGATAACCAGGGTGTACATCTGTGGTGTATGGATACCCAGAATCTAAATGCAAGTTTGCAAAAAGAAAAAAACCAAAAAACAAAACAGGTGAGTATTGTAGATAGCCTGACAGGAAGTTATCACTCAACTTCCTTATTGTTTAGCTGAAATGTCGTCTGTTCTTGTCCAAAAAAAAAAAGAAAGATTAAATTCGAAATGGAAAAGTAGTTATATGCGCTGTGGAATGTACGGTCGGACAGTGGTAAAATACTTCAAATAAGTGGAGAGCCACTCTAACATAGACCAGCCTATAGCCATGAAGAGGACAACAATCCAGCATGAAACCCTGAACACATGATTTCGGTAGATGAGCGAGGTACAGTATACTTAGTGTGTGCTATCAATGCAGTTATTTCAGATAGTCATTGGCTTTTTTATTCCTCAGTATTTTTTACTTTTTTAGTGGCTTTTGCAAACCAGTATCTTACAGACACCTTTATGAAGTTTTTTTTTTTTTTTTTTTAAGGACTGACTTCTTTACCAGTTTTGATATGTATTTCTCCGGTGACATGCCGGTATATCAGTTTAAACAGTTCTGAAAATAGAATAACGATGACAGAAATAACTGTTCCAGATTTTGAAATTAGTTTTCCAAGCTGTCCTGGTCATGGCGCCACAGTGTTTTCCTCAGAGCACGGAAATCAATCAGGGGAAAACTAGGTAGTTGACAAGACAACCAAATGTTAGTGTCAAGCTTGAGCACAGACTGCTGTTAGATGTTTACCAATACACATAATAGAACACAGTCCTACTCACACCCAAGCCAATGGAATTGACATGAAGATCAGTGAGCCAGACTATTTCTTCAGAGTCCCATCTATGCTCAAAATTTCTGATTGGTCGCATTCTTGCAGCTTGCATGGTCGGTGATATGTCAAAAAGGATTTTCCCTGCAGCTTCTGTATTTTAATAATAGAAAATACCCTTGATAGCTAGTGATACACCCGTTCCCCTGGATGCAGTTTTAAATGTAGGAATGAACCATTCCAACAACGCCCATCAGTTGAGAGACTTCGGTCAAACTCTGGCTATCTGTTGTTGATGCTGCTGGAACTTGACCATGTAATACAGTGTACAGACTAGATACACGCTTGGAAAAATCCATGACCAGAACTGCAGGAAATCAGTGCAAAATTGGTGCAGTCTGACATAGTGGATTATATTCAGGATAGAGAAAGTCAATGAAAACACACCACTTTTTACCTCCCGGTCTTTTTGTTTTAACCTGTGGCGCTGCAATATTGAATCTTGCCCAGCCAACATCAGATAGCATTGTTATCATATACATATATACTTGAAACAAATGAAATGCCTTGTGTCAGGTCAGTTTTCTCGTCACAATGACTCATTGTCAGAATCAGGAGAGTTGATACTTTAAGTATTTTAGTATTTCTACAACAACTTGTTGGTGTGCTTTCATTGACCCTCAGTGTAATTTTCAGTGTAGTTACTTTTTAGAGCTCCCTGCGGTGAGCTATTAGGAATGTTCAAGGTTGAGGGTTTAATTAGGCCGAGCTGTCTGGCATTCAGAGTACCGCACATTAGTACAACAGTTTAAAGGCCGTAGTAACTATGAACAGAATGTACTGGATTGTTGCCAGTGAGTGCTTAAAAATAGAACTCACCAGTGGAATCGTCACGCAGTTATAAACATTCAGACAATTTTAAAGCATGTGTTCTGAAGGTTGGCTTATTTCTCGGGTAAATCAGCAAAGTTAGTTGTTGTTTTTTTAAAGAGCAATGGAAATGAAGCTTGTGAAGATTGGCTCGTTACTCTCTCCCAGAGACAATACGATTTTTAGACCTACTTGATCGGCAAGACTTCAATTCTGTAAATTCTCCCGATGGGCAACCCTTCTAGTAACCAATATGAGCCTTCAGTAGTTCACTTCTCCTAAAGAATGCCCAATTCAGAGCCTTGTGTTGCTCAGTGCTCGCAAGTCTCACTTTAATAGTGATATTAGACTAGCGTAGGGAATGAGATCTACACGTATGTATGAATTACAATATTGTACGCCATCCCAAGGTATTGCTGGTTACTGAAAGAACCCACATGTGTGCAATACAAAAGAATTGTGTTGTGGAAATGCAGTCTGAGAAATGGAAGGGTGGCGTTTTTAATGTTTTCCTGCACATACCTGTGCAGGAGTTTTGATTTTTTGAGCTAGTTGTTGATATTTTTTTCTGGGGCTTCATTTTTTGGTTTCCAGGGTGCATTTGTGAAGAGTAAGTGGGAGACAGCGAGTGGCGAAAAGCTGGGTGAGTACACGGCTTGCCGAGGGAGAGGCTAGGAGCCACATTTCAGCCGAGCAGTGCGTCACTTTGTCACAAGTCGAGCAGTCGGTTAACATGGAATGCAAAGCAAGCTGCACAGGAAGGAAAGAAAGGATTAAATTTAGCGTTGGAAGCTTCTGATGTTCGTCCTTTTTGAGAAATATATGCATCTCTTTTTATGTACATGTAATTAGAAATACACCTGCTGGACACTTTACAGTCATCCAAATGCTGTATACAGTATTTGTTAACGTCACTGTTGCTTGCTTGATTGGTTTTGTCGTGCGGCTAATATTGGACTTGCGCAAAGTGAAATGTACAGAAACTGGAGTCTGTTTTCAGCAGTTCTTTTGAGGGTAAGATTTGGCTAATCCGTCAGGGTAGCATTGAACCAAGAGGGTTTTAAGTTTTGTGTGTGTGTAGTTTTTAATTTTTTGTTCCATCTAAGTGATAAATGAAATGAAAATCGTCGTAAAATCTATCACAAGATATGCAGGTGAAATTTCTACCTGAAATTAGATGAGAGGTAAACCCACTTCATTGCATCTACTTATTCACATCTACACGTAGGAAAAAAAAGAAGAAAAATAATTCATCCCGGGGAGTGCCTTCTAAGTAAGGATTGCCCATTCCTGAGCAGTTATCGACATGCAGTGTTTGTTAAATTTACAGTGTAGAAATTTCCACACCCCCATATGCATACTAAATTTTGCTATGGCTTGGTTTTAAAAGGCCCCTTTTGATCTACCAGAATATATTAAATGTCTGAAATTTAAGTCCTGAACCTCAACCTGAAAACTAATGCTCATGTAATTGATAATTATTAAATAATTGAAATGTAAAATTCAGAACTAGTTTTAAATTAATTTTTACAATAATCCAGCAGATTTTCTGACATAGAAAATAACAGGTATAAAGTAGTAGTAAATATACATCTCTAGGCAATATATGGATTCTTATAAATTTCTCCATAATATTGCTATTTTGAGTAACATCTGGAGCCTTTGGAGAAACCAATGAGTAGCAGATGTCCTTGGCTTCTTTGTAATGTCCTGCTGCTGTCCAATCATTTTGCCAAACGGAATATCCCAGCCGGTCACATATTACACCACCCCTAAAAAATAAATTAATAAAGAATTTAAAAAAATGAAACCCTAACAAATCTCAAGGATTTGTGTTTGAGTGGGGGAATGCATACATTTAGTAATAAGCTGGGCAGTGTCTATTGTGGAGTGTTAATACCGATCAGCCATGTTACATTGTATTAAATTCTGACCATTTGAAAAGGAACAGTGTGTGTGCTACTAACAAGCAAAAGGTACATTTCATAGTGAGTTTTTCCAGATTTACTCTAACATTCCTGAATCTTCCAATTTTAATATGATTTTGCACACGCCCCTTTTTTTCCTGGCCAGTATCGCAAACTACGTTGCACAGTTGGTTGAATAATTACACAGATTTTCAGTAAACACCTTTTTCCGAGAAGCTGAAAAGAAATGAACTTATCTCCATAAGTCATCGCGTCTCAAATTATCAAAAACCAGTTGCTGACATAAGGAAGTTTGGTCATGATGCTTTCAACAGAATATTTACCGAGGTGTTTTTGAAACCATATGTAATTTAGAATTGCTGAAATTGTAGTCGTGTGGATTGGCAATGCTTGCAGTTTTTTTTTGCTCCATTCTCCACCGACAGACAAACTGGATGGTGTACGAGCCTACAACAAGCGGAAGCATTCGGCGGAGCAGTCACGGGTCCAGAGTATGGAGGACTTCTTGAGTATGTCTGAGTACGCACAAGACACTCCCAGGGATCCTAATGCCAAGCGGGTCCGTCATTATCATTACTCTGCTTTTTGAATAAATTTATTGATGGCATTATTTTCCATCTAGTCTTGGATGTTGTTTTGGGCTCGAAGCATGCTTTCATTTTCATCTTTTTGTTTTTTTTAATTTATTACATAGAACAATGAAAAGAGGTCATGTACATTAAATGTAAGGCTACATACCACCTGGAATAGAAACAGAGAGAACATGTGCATTGCCAGTAAAAAAGTAGCTGGGGTATAGATCTTCCTGAGGGGGCATGGGGAGCGGGGAGGCAGCGCTCATAGCACACCAAAAAAAACAGCAGCAGAATGGGTCCGTTCCAAGGCATTTTTATGGAAATTGGCAATCATCATCCCCCTTTTTTTCCATTTTCTTTCCCCCTTCTCTTTCCCCCTTTTTTTAGGAGGGGGTATTATATTCTTCTTGCCCTCCCCTCCTTTGGCATCCATTATACAAAATAGACAACCTTTTCAGACATTTCCCAGCTGATCCTTTGCACACTTCCAAAGCTCTAATGTATGCTATTTTGAATTACAATCACTCAGGATAATAGTGTGAGTTGGGATATAAACACACATTGTTTATGTGATAGTCCGTCTGAGTGCTTTTGATTCGCAAACCAATACTTAAAATCCTGCTGGTTGTTTCCAAAATGTAGTCGAATCACACTCAGTGTGACCTGTTCAATTATTTATTACAAACCAGAGATATACTTTAATTACATCCATGACTGACACTGTACATTAATTTGGGCAAACATGTCACTTTAATTTCTGTTTAGTAATGTAAGGTTATTTTCCGTTGATACATGGAACAGTGGGTGATTTTGCTGAATTGTGTTTGTTCATTCCAAAGTGTCTCTGAGCTGCTCACTCCTGGATATACCAGTGTTTCCATTTTACCAGAAGATTGCAGTTTTATAGTTTTTCTAGTGAAACCTGTTATTGGATGAGTAGGTAAATTTCCTCTTGGTATGACTATAGGTGCGTTGGGCCGACATTGAAGAGAAAAAGGACCAGGAACGAAAGCGGGCCCTGGGCTTTGTTGTTGGCCAGACGGCCCAGGACTGGGCCAAAATCACCGATGACAACTTTGCAGAGAAGGCCCTCAACCGCACCAAGTACTTCTGAGAAGGTCACCGTCATGGACTCTGGGGTTGGTTTTGCAATGTGGTCATGCTTTGAACATTGCTTTTTTGTCAAAAATTTCTGGCTAACTCAACACAAAAGAGTAGAAACGTATCATTCTTTTATAGAGCTCGTCTAATTTTAGCAGGAGAAGTTGTTTTTAATTTCATGAAAGTGGAAACAGTGGTTTAAGTACCATCGTTTTTCCCACTGTCATTTTTTTAAAGCTTGTTATTTGTTAATTATGAATAATAATTGGGTTTATAATGAATGACAAAATGTCCACTTTTGTGTGGATTTACCACTCTTCCTGTCTGAGTTTTTTGTTCTGTGTTTGGGCTTTGAGATGTTTCTCTTGGACGTCCGGGTATGAGGACGTGAAAGTGGTACAGAGATGGTGGCTCTCATGCCTTGAGTCAGCACAGCCAGATAATTTTAAAAGCCTTTTGGAAGGTTAAAGAAAAATCCCCCTCCACCTTCTTTCAATGGTTCTCACCCTCGTGGACCCCTACTGGTTCCAGAGGCCTATTCTCCCTTACCAACTCTGTGTTCAGTGACAGTGTTACTCATGCATGTTTCTGAACCCTTCTAATTGCAGCGTTATCACTGAGAAGTCACACGAGGGGTGGCTAACGTGGCACTTCAAACAAACTTGGGATACCACGATGCTTAGTGCCACGTGAAAGCTTCAGCTGGTGCCTGTCTTCAAAGCTGTCGATGTCTAAATGTCCACCTCACACACTGAACAGCACAAAGTGGGGCCTCTCAGTAAGCTGGATTGAAATGGTACAGAACAGGAAGTTGTAGAGAATCAGGTCAGCGGGACCGGTCCCTGGAAAGCCAAGCGGAACAGCTCACCACCAGCATCTGATGAAGACGAAACTTGCTTTAGAGCTTCTGCCATTTTTTTTCTCGTGGAGATTTCTGTTGTAACTTTTGATGCTGTACACATGGCCAGATTATCCTCTGTAAATTTTACAACTTGAAAGTTATTCAGTTTGCGATTAAAATAAAAGTAATGGGTTGTATTTAACTGTGCAGTGTCTAGAATACCCTAACATTTTTGCGGCAACATCGGGGGAAACAGGTGTGATTAGTTAAGTCAAATTTCAATATTATCAAGCTTTGCAAGAACATGTATCTTCAAGTAGAATTATGTGTTATCAGCATTGAGAAATGAAGGCGCAATGGATTTGAATTGAACGAATGGTCAACAGATTGCCCGTGTTTGCTTAATAATACGTATGCTCTGATAATTGTTAATTAGTTCTCTAGTCTGCCTACGGCATTATTTGAAATGGAGGCAAATGAAATGAAAAAGATTCTTCAAACAAGCTGAAAGTCTGCACAGGCACATTGGTTCACCTCGTGGAAACTGAGATGGCAGTACTTCAGGTCACTTCAGTGGTTAGTTGATATGGTTTGGATTTGTTCTCTGTTTATTTTGAGGTTTGCTTGGAAAAGGGTTTCTGTGGCTAATGCATCATTTTTATGTCTAATAGTTAAAATAACAATATTGGAAGTGGTGTTCACAGTTAAACTACCTTTGTTTTGTAAAAAAAATGATATTTGCATTGCCTGTTACGATCCATATTATCTTTGACACAATTGGCAAGTCCACTCGCATTTAAGAAATATTGTGACCTTTCTTAGGCATCACCGTTTGCCTCCAGACTATCATTGTTTGAAAAAAAAAGTTGTACTTGAAAACTATGAATAATTCCACATTGTAGATGCGTAGGTAATTGAAGAAAGTATACTACATTGTAGGAATATTGTGTAAGTTGTTACGTCACTGTTCCTGCCCAGACAGCTGTCTGTACTGTCTTTCAGATCTTTGCCGAGTTTTATAGTGCAACTACTCAGCGAGAAACGAGAACTACGCTTTTATCCACGCGAACACAGTGGTGCGTTCAGTAGACCTACTTCAACTCTACACAGTAAAGTGTTAATTTTCCTTGATAAGAGCAGTGTGGATTAAAAAATAAAACAAAATGAAAACAAATCCTTAGATTTTCTATGTCACGGTGCGGTTACAATGACAGCGTCATTTTCTACCAAGCAGGTCAGGCTCAGTGTATCTTTTCTGTAATTTTCTGCAACGGATGTTAATCACGTGTCGTCTGTGAAGACCAACAAGGCATGATGGATGTGTGCAGAGCAGCGGTGTGGAGCTACTGTCAGCAGGCTTTATGAAACTGCAAATATTTTTTCGCTTTTTTTTCTTCGTAATCCCCTTCCCTCTTCCTTTTTTCCCCTAAAACGTTTGATCGTTGATGGTGTATTAGCGATTTACAAAACACGATCGCCAAGCTAGGACTTCTTGTCCCTCGATGGACCATTTTCTTTGTAAGAAGGGCTTTGGGGAAGGTTCTTGATTTAAAACAAGTTGTCATGCTTTCTGTCCCGAGAAATGTGTGGTTTGTCTCAAGACCACCGCTCAGTTTAGAGACTAGCTAACAGTAGGAATGTAGATGTTATTAGACTTGACAAATTAGTATAAATAACCCTTAGTTTGGCAGTCGGTGTGGTCCATTTTATGACGCTGTTTTGTCTGAATATGTACGCCGTTAAATTACAGCACCGTTTTGCAATGATGGATTTCTTTGTGTTTAAGTAGTTTTATAGGTTGCTACTTTTTTTTGTTTTTTGCCGGGGGGGGGATTTCTCCTCCGCCTTTTGAATGAAGGCATGTCATGCGATTGGTGCATCCTTTTCGTGTTCTGTTAGGCTTAACGCTATAGGAAACTATTCTAAACGAGGTGAATGGCGGAAGAGACTCTCGTGATTAATCCCATATGTCGCAGCTCAATTTTACAAATTAGTTGAATTGGGTGGTTAGGCTTTTGGTAGTATTATTCAATGTATCATGTAGGTTTTCTCCATCATCACAAACGGGTGCAATAGCCCTTTAGCGTGTTTGTCAGTTTATCTGGTATTGTGTCTTCTGGTCCCCAAAATGTGATGTTTTGTCTTCGCACACGTCTTATCCTAGGGTTTTTCGTGCCTGTTCAGACAGATGTTTCATATGAACTACGAGGGTGTTGCAGAAAGCAATGGCATACCGATATTGATATCTGTAGGCTTTGCATATATTACTTGATTGAAGTTTTGATTGAAATAGGTAGCATTTCACTATGGCTGCAGTGGTTGCCCGCTACAAATACCACACATGCAATTTGTGTCGAGTCGAAATAAACCGTGCCTTATCCACTTACAAAGAAAAAAATCCCACCGCAGCCGTCGGGATACCAGCTGAATCACCTCAAATTGTGAAAAACAAATAGAAGCGTTTTAGTGGAGTTTACGCCAATGTCGCTCACCTGCTGACGGATTTATGACCCGTCCTAGCGGCGGCAACCTGAACGTTTGCAGCTCGTTAGGCCCGCGCAGTCTTAACATGGTGGCCAAAATGTGCTCGAGAGCGGTCATTATTTGGCGCCAAAAATACAACCCCTTCAGAATTGTCGTCTGGGATGCTACACAGCGCAACACTGGCCTTGCTGTTGGGTATTTTATTGATTAATAAAAACGAGAGCGGGGTAGTCCAACTTTGTTGATTTTTCTCTAAATATTTACTTTCCTTAGTTTGCCGTTGATGACATTGTGTGGATCCGATGATGCAGTGTCTGTTGTCCCCATGTACGTGTATTTCGAGGGAGAGGGCTGTCACGTTTGCTTCGATTTTTCCAAGGGGCTCAAAAATCGGCTGCGTTGACCTGTAGTAACCCCGGAAATCTGAAGTTTTTTATCTAAGGGACACTTTTTTCAAAAAAACTAATAGGCATTCAGCTAGATTCCCAGAAACCAAACCCGTTGCTGTTCATTTGGCAGTGTGATAAGGTAGACTTATCAAAACCGAACACGAGTAACATGATCGCGGTATTTCCTGATTGCCAGCTAATTCACACAACACTCACGTCTGTCAGCGTGTAATAATCACAGATAATACAATACATAGTGATGCGTGCAGCCTTCAATCATAATTTTGCTCTGCTGTCGGGTGCTGTAGGCAATGGGTGACGGTACAGAAGTACAAACCATAAACGTTTACACGGAGACACAACAATCACCAAGTGGTGTTGTGGAGATACAATCCATATCGGGCTAATATGGACGGACCACCCTGGGGTGTTTACAATGAATCGGTGGCAATAATGGAGGGGTTTTTTCCCTTTAAAACAGTGTTGCCAAGACCCAGGGATAGTGCTAGATATCCTTGGTAATCGCCCACCGCCCTTGAGTTACCTTACGATATTTATAGCTTCGTTGAGTGATTATCTCGAGTACAGCTGGTTACTGCTTTCCTCTTCATCCCCTACAAAGCCAGCAAAAATGTCGCCAATAAAAAGTTCGTTCTTATATAGACCTGTTGATTAATTGCATTTCCATTTCGTAATGGTCTTTGTTTTGGCACCCCTGCCGCTGTGTACACTCAACTTTGATTTATTTAAAGATATCCACGGTATTGCCCCATCTGGTTTGGCCCGCGAGGAGCCAGCAGTGTGGGTCTTGAATAAGAGAATTTCGAGTATTTAAAGGCAAGTCGATATCCGAAAACCTCAAAAATCAAAACTCCATTAGAACCTTCATAGCATGACGTTGCATCTTGTCATGTTAAGGTGATAAGACCACCTTGCTGGTAGCGAGTTTAACGTCCCTATCATAGAAGGGGGATGCGCACATCGATTCGACCATGGAATTAATTATCACAATTTTAAGATCACACGGGGAAAACTTGCTGCAGGCGTTGAGGATCTGCGGAATCGGACAGTGTAACGTTCCGAGACCACCGCTGTATCGGCACGTGCTATACATATCGCGACCACCTTAATTGTATATTTTGCAAGGGGTCGATGGTGTCATTTTGGCTTGCATATTTATTTATTTGTTCTCTTTAAACACAGAGTATGACACTCTTTTAACCTTGGCGAAGTGAAGACAGGTGGGGACCAGAGAACCCACCGCTGGGAATGCAAACACAGTGGCGGCGATTTCTGTGGTGTCCGAAATCCAAGCGTCTTTTCGGTTAGTCCAGTGTTTGTCGACAATTATTGTCGGTATCTGCAGTAACTGTGTTGTGCGTGTCGCACTGTCTACGTTGTAGGTCCATTTACACTGCTTTGATATGGTTGATCTGTGTGATCCTCATTTAGGTTGCTGAAGGGCCGGCTGTACCTGTCGTAGAACGCTCTTGAACCTCTTTGTGGAGCGTATGGTGAAGTTAAAACAAAATGCCGTCAGAGTTTTTTTTTATTTGAAGAAAAAGCATGCTTAATCATATGTGGATTACTTTTTCTGTGCCGAGCGTTAACATGACTTTGTGCAGGCCCACAGCGAGTGTTATGTATAGCAGTGCATTTCATATTGTAGAATGACAGTGACACCCACCGTTACCCAGTAATTAACTCTGGCTGCTGAAAAAAAGGGCGGGAAAGTAAGATAATTTAATTGCATGCTGGAGTGAAATGGGTAACGCGTTGTTGGTGCGCGCTGGCAAGGGCTGGACGTAAGAATTACTGCAGCTGTTTCTCCCAGGGTGGCGGACGGCGTGGAGTAATATCAAAATACCGCCTCTGGCTACAGCGCAATGTTATCCGTTATGCTTATGAGAAAAAAAGTAGGGTCCCTTTCCCTCCAAAAAGGGAAATCATAATAAAGGAACAATGCCTCTACCGTCGCCGCCGTTTGGAAATAAACAGACAATGTTTCAACTGGTATGGCCCGCTGTGATGACCACTTTGGTCGTCAGGGCCGCATCGTATGTATTACGCGCCTTTAAAGGGGCGTGCTCATGAGAGATTAAAGGGGCGTGCTCATGAGAGCTTGGACTGTTTCTTCATGCTCATTCATAATATTGTTTCAGTACCTCAATGTAAAATAGAAGGGTATTTCTAAAAGTTTTTTCCACTTACTGCTTCTCATGAGAATACCCTGCTTTATTCTTTCTTTGAGTCAGCGTTCAATCTGCAGAGAAATCATACTCCTACCTTCAGTTTTCTGGACTTTCTATTTGTTATTTTCTCTTGCATGGCGCTGTACCTGGAGTAATCTTTTAGCCTCCTTCAGAGTAAATTTGCATTTAAAAAATCAACAATCCTTTTCTCGTCGAAGAGCCTCCTATCCCAGTGTGAATTTGTGTGAGTAATCTTGATCGATTTCAATCTTAAATCGAGTTCGTATCAGTATTGTGAAAAAATATTCTCGGGTCTTGAGAAGTTTTCTAATTTGTAAGGAGCAAACGACTGACAAGTTCTCTTTTTTTATTAGACGACCAGCGTAAATTATTATTTCGCTTTAGTTAGTCTTGACAAGTTGACTTTAATGACTAAAAATGAAAAATGGGTTGTACCACAAAACTCACCATGGTTGGGTAATCACTGACTATATACGTCAGTTAAGACAACACGCAGGCACGACTTTATGTTGTGCGAGTTATAGTTGAAACAAAGTCGATTTTCTGTGCCTTTTGATATTTCAAACATGTAAGTCTAAGTAGGGACGCTTTGGATTATAATTCATACAATGGGACTTTTTTTTAAACACTGCCTTTAATTTGTCTGAAAAGTTCATTCCTGTCTGGTCCAGTGAAGTGTCGCCTGTTACAGCTGTTTTTCGCTGAGACGTAAAAAATATGTTATGCTGATCCGTTTTCGATTTCAATTTTACTTTATTCTCGATAATGTAAAGCAAGGAAATAAGTTTCTTCTCGTGCATGCACAGGAAAACAGAACCTTTTTCCCAGTTTTCAATATCGGTAAAGAGGCTCGGACAGCATGGCCGAATAGTCCTCAATAACATGCGTTCGTCTGGACTGACTCCAACACGGACGCAAACAATATATAATTGTCGAACATGGACAAACATGTCCACGGCTATGACGGGCGTATGATGTCTCGCATGAGTACCACGTGTTTGGCCTGTTTTTCCCGTTGTAGTTTAGAAACGAAAATCCGATTGTCGGCAAAGTGGCTGACTTCAAATGAATATACATCAGCCTGAAGTGCTAGTTCAACTTAGATAAATGGTAGAACCATTTGTGGTTCTAAAAAAAAAAGGGCATTTCCAAAAATTCGAAATTCTGGACACCATTGTGTTTCTTTTCTTTTCTTTTGTTGAATGACAGCACATACTCTGCATCTCGACATATCGGCGATCGTTACCTAGAGAGAAGGCTCCAGACCCAGTATATTGGCTTCTCCAACATCCGACGCGACTTCAAGACGCGACGGCAAAGCGGCTCCCTTCGTCCCGTTGACTGTCTTCGTTGCTTTTGTGCGCGCCCTAGCGTCGTGTTTTCCAGTCCCTCTTATCGCGTCGCATCACGGTGCGTCGCGTCACGCTTACGTCATTTTGCTCGTATCGTCGCTGTCGCCCTTACACACGACCGAGGTGGCTCGATAATGTACGGTAACCTCTCAAGGGATTTCTTGCAGATTAATCTTTTAGTATTTTTTGGGCAAAGTATTTTTTGTCTAAGAAACTGATATGCAACGGCCCCACTGCGTCATGCCATCACATCATGTAGGTTTTTCGCCTGTTTAGGAGGCGACGAGGTGAGTCTCGAAGTCGTCATGGTATGTCACAGAGACGCGCAGTACGAACTCAAAAAATAATGTCACGCCACGGATTGCCGAAAATATGCATGATGCAATCACAACTTAACCAAAATGCAGTCAATATCTATTTGGGGCTGTTCTCTTGTTGTATTGGCTTCGTTAACCGTATAAGACAAAGAACGATTGCAGCTTGAATTTCATCAGTCGCACTGTTTTATTTATAAGGTGATTTAAATCATATGCATAGTCATTCTGGCTTAACAGTGGTCGATGAAGGTCGACTACTCGAACACAACATAGCTTGGGTTGCATGCGGTTTGCGATAACATTTGTCGGTTGTCTTAAAGTGGTTTTAGTATTTCCAGGTTCCTAGTTCAGTGTTATTTATATTTGCTGAAAGTCACCATTCTCACCGCATTATGTATTCTATACGGGTAGATGTGGTAAGTTTAATGTCTGTTCATGTCGTGTTGTGGAATTTGGCAAACTCATTTATCTTGGGCACGCAAACCAAAACACCTTGCCTTGACGTCACATAACTTTTGATTCGTTAAATATGGCAGCTATTAACATGATTTGTTGTAATATGTACTTTGGTGTTTGGTGAGTTGTTGTCGTGGCTACGTTAGTTTGATAACCTGTCCCACAAGACTTAACACTGGGCTGAGCTGGATGCTTGGTTATAAACAGTTCTGATTCGTCATGTACCTTCTCGGTTTTCCCCTCTCGCTTCCTACATTTTTGTCGTGTTAATGCTCCTGTTCATTTCGTATCTTGTTTTGAAAGATATTTGAATCTGTTCAAGTCCAGGAAAAGTGATTTTCGGTAACTGGGACTTTTCATATTTGTCAAGCACTGAACTTTATTCCCTCATCTTTTTGAGCAGACAGTGCTTGGCAACTATTGTTTAGATAGAGGTTTGGGTTATCGTTGACATTTTTACCCTTATTCTGCCACTTCGTTTTCCCGTGGATTGACAACACTGGCATGTTCTTTTTGAAAACGTTTACGACCTCAGAAAGAGTTTCGTGTATGCTGTCCTTCTACAACCTGATCCGTATGATGAGCAGCTGGCCTTGGCAAAATAAAGACGAAGAATTGTTCATTAAATGTATTAACTTACAAGGTTTACCTCGGCTGTCATTTTCAAGGGTAAATCGACGTAAATAACGTCGTTGTATTTATTTCGCAGCACCCGTTATTGCCACCCCCAACCGCTCGTCGCTTGAACACTAACCGTCTCAGTCTTAAAGGGCCGAGACCTCGGGGACCTCGCATGAATGATGATGATGCATTTCGTGATGTATACAAAAAAAAAACCGAAGTCCGCGGCCCACACAGGCCGCTGCGTCCAGACCCTGATGGCACCGAGGAACACTGCCGATCTCCTCGGCGGCTTGGGAAGGCAGTGTGGACCGAATGTTGCAATTCTCCGTTTGGCTGGAAGGCTCGCAAAGCAAACGTTCGTGACTAATTGGGCACTTTAGGCTCATAATTCCACCGTGTTTGTATCTCTTGCAGACATTAACGATCTGGTTATAAAGTGATAATTGGCAGTGAGGATGGACTCCCGCAAGGGAAGGCCAAACATATCAGCTTTTTAAGGTTGAAGCAGAACTCTTCTGGTATGGGGTCAATCACTTTTGATGGTACATCTTTAAATGCAATCTTTTTTAGGAATTCATTTAGAAGCATTTACTGCAGAAAGGCTGGAGCTGTGTCCAAAGGAAAACTCGTGTAAAACGTACAAATCGTTGAATACCTACCTTCGGTAAAAATGCACGTGTACATAATATTATTAAACCCTATGAATTTATGGTTATGCACGCTGTCAAACTTTATTGATATAAACGTTTGAAATCGATTGAGCTGAAGTTTATAGGGAGCAAAAATGTAATCGAAACATTTTGTTATCATCAAATCAATGACTGAAGTTATAGGGAGTAAAAATGTAATCGAAACATTTTGTTATCATCAAATCAATGGCTGAAGTTATAGGGAGCAAAAATGTAATTGAAACCTTTGTGTTGGCCTGTGAGACCAATCACAAACTGGGGTATAATGTATTGAAGTCTTATCACCAACAAACAGTTTTGTAGTACGTGCTGCACACTTCCCCGTCGAAGGTTAAACGTTTTAAATAGACCGTACTCCGGATTGTCGTCAAATGCAGAGAACGTCAATATTGAGGATATACATTGAGGGTTATCAGACAGAAAGTTTAAAGATTAAAAGAAAAATGAGTTTATTGCAGCTGATTCAAGGTTACGTTCTAGACAGAAATGTCGCTTTCCCACATCGTGTTCTCAGAAAATCATTTTATTCAATAAGCTGCAATAATGTGGACATAATTTTAAAATAAGTATATAAGTACCTGCATTGCCACAAAATGTACAAAAGTTCAACGTTTAATACTTGTTGGTTCATAATGTTTACATATAACAGGATGTTTGTCTGCTTTGCGGTACCGTATACATTTAAGGCAAGAGAAGTTAGAAATATGAACAGTATCGCCTTTGGGGCTCAGCGTTTAAAGTTGACGGGCCGTCGTTTCCAAAATGAATCTAGGGATGGGTCTCCCTTTTTTGTCAATGCAATTGCATTTTAGTGCCCATCATATTTGTTGCCAAGTATATTTCTATTCACTTTTTCATGGGCGGCAGTGTGGTTTAAACCACAGGACTTTTGTTTGGTAACAGACTTAAATCGGTTGCCCTCAAAATAATGCCCAATTATATTGTCTTTTATGGACACACCCCTAAAGTGCACTGGGTCACAGACAGGTGCGCGCACGAACTTGATGTTAAGCCTGTACGCCGACAATCACTCCAGCACCAATGGAGGAGCGACTCTCCTTTACCAACTCGCGGTGGTCCACCATGAATCCATCCCGTTCTCGTACGTCGTCCTTGCTACCTACCGGTACTGCGCCGCGCTCCTCGGTCAGTACGTCCTCGTCCGTGTCACTGCAATCATCCGTCAGGCGCGTCCCGGCACCCGTGGACGACGTGTCGGCAGCCTGCTGCTGTTGTTTTTGCATGCGCTGGAAGTGTCGCCACTTCATCCGCCGATTTTGAAACCAAACCTTCACCTGTAGAACAAATAACATACAATTGCGTTTTTATGAGATATTTAACGTAATACCTGTCTGAACGAAAGAAGTTGCGAAAATAGTTGTTTCCATTTCTATATAAATGGTACTTACAGTGGGCCTGTTTATACTGTCCACACAAAGGGCACAAAAACTGGACTATTTTATTTTTCTACATACTCCACAACCATAGCTGGACCAACGTGTTCACATCGGCCCAAACCATTAGTTTTATGCCATTTTTTTTAAAACCCTACTGTGTGTTGTATTAGTTGTTTTGAAACATGGCCCCCTTGTACGAATGCCCAAAGATGTTGCCGAAAATGGGCTGTGTTACTCTTACCACATTTGGTATGAGAATACCACCGTTACAATGGTTTTTATGGGTGAGAGGAATTGCCCAGAGATGTGGGCAGTAGATATAGTGAGAGAAGTTATAATAGGCAAGACATTGAGAAATAGTCGCCATTTGTTTGTTTGTTTGTAATTGTGATGTGGGATTCCAATGCCTCACAGTTATTCCCATAAATTTATCCTCAGGTACGCCTTTGTCAACAGTAGGGGCCCTATGTGTCCTTTTGTTTATCAATTGCGAATCTATGTATTGCCACTGTTCAATCCGAAGCACGCTACCGAAACTGTCGTTATGCCAACGACGTACCTGTGCGTCCGTTAGGCCAAGAGCCGCGGCCAACTGCCGCCGGTCCGGTTTGTTGACGTACTTCTGCATTTCGAATCGTTTCTCCAGCCCCTTGCGCTGCAGGCTGGTAAAGACTGCCCGCGACCAGCTGCGCTTCCTCCGTCCGGTCGGCCTAGTGTCGGTCGCTGTGTGGGCCTGCTGCGATGGGTGTGCGAGCTGGGACAGTCGGGACTCCTTGGCGGCATAGGGAGGGTTGGGATCCAGGCGGTAGGCGTACGGGACGTATGCCCGCCACGGCTCGCATCTTTGATGTACCATTGCTGATTTGTCTGCGGGAAAATAAGGAAAAGATTGATCATTTTTGTTGGAAAGGTTTATATGTGGATTTGCACGAGGCTTTATATGATATGCATGGAATATCGTTGCACTTTTGCTCTTTTGGCTCTCTGCCACTTACAAGCAGTTAGGAATTGAAGATTAGAATGATCAGAGTGATGGTAACATGCTTAAAACCAAGGTGAAAAATTGGTAGGGTGCATCTCGAAATGACACACCACACCCAAGGGTATAATATTTCCCACAACCAATGGCTCTGTAATTTCCAGAAAAGTTTATCGCAACTGAAGAGAAATGAAGCGTGAAGATATGTAATGAGACATTTTAAGGAAGAAAAAATTATAACGTTAAGTATGCCAGTAGTCTGAGCGGAAAATAGTACGTTGTTTGTTTGGGATCATTATGCGTGAGTGAGTGCTAATGAGCCGACTTGGAACGAAAGATGCTGAAATGAATACGGTACCCGTTTCCGATGGCCGAGTTCTGATTTCGTTAACCCCGACTTGTATTGATATGCCCAACTGAATTTGACCCAACAAACATCTATATTGGTTTCAAGCCGCCCACGTTTTATTACCAAATTATCACTAACAACAGTCAGACCTTTTAAAGTGAAAATTGACCACAGGTCATTAAACTGCAGATTAACAATGCAAATCATCCTTCGATTAGAACCAATTCGGCGAAAAGGACAAAAGACCGCTAGAAGGAATAGCAGTGCATGGAAATCTCATGGATTATTACTTTGTTCACTTTATTAGGGTGATTGTTAATACCATTTCAAGTGATTTATCTTTAAGGGCTAAAAGAGTTTCCGAGGGAAAGGCTTGTATTGAAAGCGAGCAGGCCACTTTAGCCAAATGGAAACATAATACACTTCCTCGACTGGTCACAGTGCTGGCTTCTTGTTACACCCGGACCTGCCTTCTCAATGAGTTGGCGCGTTGTGCGCCATTAAAACCATAAATAGGGACAGAGCGTTAAAACTTATTGACACCATTAAGGAAATGTTACACCGAAATGCACCATTTACCAAAATGCACTTGATAGTTTCCACGCCTTGTGGTATCGATGTTTAATTCTTTGTAGCACTTTGATTGACTTGGCATCGCTTTCAAGATATCTGCGTTTATTTACAAATAAAAATTCCAATGAAAAGTCTTGAATGGAAATGAACGAGTCGGTTTCACTCACGTTACAGCCAAGCTCTGGTGTCGTTGAAAAGGCTTTGTTTCATGAAAGTCAACAGCTAATTACCTGACGATTTTTCTGCGTGCACCTCGAAGATTGGTGTATTCTCAAACGTCGTTTGAAACCACATTTTTTTCTTTTCAGCTATCTTGTAACTGCCGTGTTGTCAAATCGTCGTATGTAAGGGCCCCGAATTGTAGTGAATGCACAACCAACTGTGGTTCATCTTACCCAAACTTAATAATGCAGAGACAAACCTTGTGAATTGAAGCAAAAATGTTGATGGGCAGATGCATGGCGCGTGCTGCGCGTAAAAATCAGCTGAAAGACGGCCATGAGCAATATACATTGCATAACATTAGTTCTAACTGATAACACGAAGCTTGGCTAAGCAGATATTCTGTGCACTTTATGAGCACATGGCTGTTCTTCGCCTGCAGCTTCGTGAAGTGGGCCTTCCATTGTTACGTGCATAAAGGCGAAGAGAGCAAACGTCTCGTTGTTAATGCCCTGTTTGGGGTACAAGGGTTATTTCGTTATCTACACCACGAACTGACAATATTGCAAGTGGGTGTCAGCCCGTGAAACTGTGCTATCAACAATTTCGGTTTCACGAACCGGCACCCCGTATCGTGCGCGCGCATCGGATACTGAAGCAAGATAGCCTGATTTTCGTTTTCACGGACAGACACCCAAGCTTGTTACGGGAATTCAGCGCTGAGAAAAATGCTTTGAAAGGTTTGATATGAATTTAATCCATCTATGTACTTACTGCCATACCCCAAAACTGAATTATAATTCATTTTAATTAGTGGAATAAAGATCGGTGTCAGTTTGTGAAAACGAAGTACCGCCCTATAGCCTACCGGTTGCCAGTTCGTGAAAACGAAAATATGATGTAAGTCGGTTCTCTAGAATGCGCGTAAATGAGTTCACCTTCGCGTACGACTGAGTGTCAGTTCGTGGTCTCGATTTGGTTGCTGTTTACGTGTCTTCTCAGCGAATGGCTGTGTATAATATTTCGTGGTGAATTAAAACACTTGGCGATTCAACATACGTGAACATGCTTGCACGGACAGGTGCAGGTTACGAGTTACGGTCTGTGGAGTTGTGACAGAGATCACTCCCGCTTTCGGTAAAATCTGGCGGATATTTCAGGATTTTACCATGCAATATTACCAATGTAAACCCCCCACACATGTAATTCCTTACAATGTAGAAATAAAGCTTGAAGTACCAAATTCGTTATCATAGGTATATGTGACGCGTTACGGAAAATGCTGGTATCAGAACGTACCTTGGTAACACCCCTGACAGTAATCACTCATGGAGCCGTATTTGGGCGGTAGATGTGGCATTTGGAGCCGCGCGTGATTGGCGGTGCTGCTCCGCTCGGTGTAGGTAGGGCTTGGAGCTCCAAGGCTGCTGCTCAGCCATCCGTTGCCGGTGACTGCTTGGCTCGTACGTTCGCTGATGTGTCCATTAGTGTCGTAAACGCTAGTCGACTGTCGGGGTACTGTCTCAATTGTATCTGTGTTTGAAAACAGAGAGGCAATCCATAAATGCACATGTATAGATGTTGTTATCTTTTGAGGTGATTAATGATATCAGTCTGACTCAATCACTAATAAATTTCGCATCATAATTATCAAGTGAGCTATTCCTTTTGTCAGAGTTAAAACATGGTTCATCGTTTTGTTGTGAGTTCGATTATTTTACACCTAGTTTCAGTGCAGCAGCTGTAATTAACGGTTGCGCTGCAAATAAGTCGTCAGTGTGCATTAATAAATGCACGTGGATTTTGTCGGTTTTTTATCTGGAAAAGCTGCAGTTTAAACAAACTAGAACTTTCAACTAAACTAACCTAAAATGCATTAAAATGACGAATGCACCCTTATTGATAATAACATATTTCAACTATGCACCGCACATTTTTGACTTGGAGTGGCAAATCCCGACACCTTAAGGTTGACCCACCGAGTGCTCGATCAATACCAGACCAATTCGCATTGTACCCAGTGGAGCTACATGGGCTGACTGTAAACTTTAAGACAAAGAGCTTAATGTGTGAGAGCATCATATCTGATTTCACTATACCATTGTAGAAACCTTTATGATCACAAGCGTTGATCATTGCTGTGTGTCCTTCGGGAATGTACGCATTATTTATGCATTCTACATTTATTCCTAATCAGGCTAACTCAAGTGTACAGTCTTTCCTTATGGCGTTCTGCTTGTCAGAAGCTCTTAATCACCTTGTTTTTACGACATCTGCGAATTCCTACAGAGCATTATGGGCTTATGCTAGTTAGAAATGCGAAAGTACAACATAGATTGCACCACACCACCTTTAGACCAGTGGAAAGATATCGTCGGTCAAAATGCGCGCTTTGTAGGTATTTTCCCTTACTGTGAAAGTCTGCTTGAAAAATGTGAGCTATCTGTCAACTCACCAACAGCTGTCTTCTTTTCTGTTCCTTCTGCTGTAAGGTTTCCAAGAATCTTGTCGATGCCAAATTTGAGTTGATACTTTTCCTGGGCTGAGGGGGACCGGGACCGGTCGCAACCTGCATCAGTCACCGCTGTACCTCCGGCAGCAGATGAACAACCCTCAGCCCGCAGCTTCGTAAATGGGACGCTCCTGCCGCCGTCTATTGCCTGCTCGACTCGGTAGTCAGTAGGTGATTGTAGATCGGTAAGTATGCCCATGGGACAGTTTAATCTCTTGTAGCCGCTCAAGAGCAACTCTTCTCGTCTGATGTTCGGAGAATGAAGAGGGTAAGAAGCCTGGCCCGTGCATTGGGCAGGTACATAGCTCGATGACATCGAGAAGTAAGGAACCAAAGGTACTCCCGAAGAATACATGACATTGTACATCATCGCCATGGTTTTTGTCTTCAGAATCCTCTCTGGCAGTAGCCAGCGACAACTTCTCTATGGTGACTTGCTTTCAGAAGACGGACCCAATTGTGGCAGCATCGGGTAGCATCAGAATTAGATGTTTAGCTACAGAAGTTTCTCGACGTTCCTAATGACTGTCGGCACCAATATCGGAAAGACAAATGTTATTTGGCCTCTGGACAGAGATGCAGAAGCCGATTGGTCCACGGTGTCGTTTCTTCTGGTGGTGTTCTCGCCGTTTTGTGGTGTCTGTGTCGCGCACTTTGCCGGAGTGGCCTTCGGTTTACGAAGTTGTGTACTGGGGGCCGCTTAGCGTGGTTTCCTGTCGATGAGGGCGCTCATCCGGTTGTCAAGGGTGCAGACCACAAATTCAAGTGAGAATTTTTGACCAGTTCATTAGCATTAAAAGTGCCCCCCACAGTATTTTTTGAAAAAGGAGATTGCTTGGCCCCCAAAACGGTGAGATTGTGTAAATCGTTGCCAGGATCAACTCCCTGGGTCTTTGAACTTTCATATGAAAAATGGCCGCAATCAGACTTCGGAAAAATCACTTTTTTAGGGGTGATTTTGTTTTGTGGGAGTAATTAAAAATGTAATTTGTT